TTGCCTTGTCATATTTAATAACTTTGAAGTTTAATTATATGCTTTGAGTTTTGGGTCTGTGGTTATTTTCTTAAAAAATATTAGGAGAGAAAGGGTGCTTCAATTAGTAGAACAATCTAAATTCTTGTCTTAGATGTGAAATTTGTTGTCAGAAGAAATGTCCGGATGGTTGAAAAAAAATCGATTTTGTTATAGTTTTGGTAATGTTGATGTAGGCTGTCTTGATGCAAGTATAAGAGTACATTTGTGTCTACTATTATGGTTGAACTTGTAAGTTGAATTGTTGCAATTTTTCATATAATTTCTAGGGGCGACCGAAGGGTGTCACTCCCAAATACAGCTTGGCTCCTCTTGTATCTCGGATTTCTGAACTCCTTGGTTTCCCGGTATGTTTATGTATTGATCATTGTGGAATATGTATGAAGAGATCTTTTAAGTGTTGTAATTTTCCTGGTGGTTATGATAATGTTCTTGACTTATGTTTTTTATTTGAATAATTTGCAGGTTGTCAAGGCTGAGGATAGTATTGGTCCAGAAGTGGAAAAGTTGGTGGCTTCTCTTCCAGAAGGAGGTGTTCTTCTTCTAGAAAATGTGAGGTTTTACAAGGAGGAAGAAAAGAATGATCCTGAGCATGCAAAAAAGCTTGCCTCTCTAGCAGATCTGTTTGTGAATGATGCATTTGGTACTGCTCATAGGGCACATGCATCAACAGAGGGGGTTACTAAATACTTGAAGCCATCTGTTGCTGGTTTTCTTTTGCAAAAGGTGTGTTTATCGCTTCGCTTTTAGCTAACTCTAAAATTCTGCAAAAATAAAGCTCCTGAAAGTTTCAATGCCACAATACCACCATTTTCATTGTGAATGATCTTATAAAATTAATAAATTTTTATCACTTGATGTAAAATGAAACTTTACCTAAAATGTCAAATACTCTACTAGGAAAAGTTTTTAATAACTATTTTCACGGGGATTGTTCATTTTTTAGGAACTTGATTACCTTGTTGGGGCAGTATCAAGCCCAAAAAGACCATTTGCTGCCATTGTTGGTGGTTCCAAGGTCTCATCTAAAATTGGAGTGATTGAGTCACTTTTAGAAAAGGTTGATATCCTTCTTCTAGGTGGAGGAATGATCTTCACATTTTACAAGGCACAAGGTCTTTCAGTGGGTTCTTCCCTTGTAGAGGAAGATAAATTGGATCTTGCTACATCACTACTTGCAAAAGCCAAGGAAAACGGGGTGTCTCTCTTGTTACCAAGTGATGTGGTGATTGCGGACAAATTTGCTCCCGATGCAAATAGCAAGGTTTGTTTTCTGGTTTCTAAGCTTCTTTAGCTAAACATATCGGTCATAGTAAGTTAAACCACATAAAATATTAATAATATTGCAAACGCTTACTTGTAATATTATTCTTTATTCAATCTGAATCATTTGCAACTAGCACTTAAATTCTTCCTTAACCTTTTAGGTCGTGCCAGCATCTGCCATCCCTGATGGCTGGATGGGATTGGATATTGGTCCAGATTCTGTTAAATCATTCAGTGAAGCATTGGATACAACCAAAACCATCATATGGAATGGACCAATGGGAGTGTTTGAATTTGACAAGTTTGCTGTTGGTACAGAGGTATGCGAGAACACACTAATAAGGAGCTCTGTTCAAATTACATTTTAAAGCAAATGTTTTCTGTAAATATAAACAATGTCCACTCAAATTGATGCGTATACTCTCAGTAATATACAGTAGGAGTTAGTTTTCGTGATGTGACTTGTACATCTCCATAAACTATATTCTTCCGATTAGGGGTGATTCAAATGTCGGCTTACGAATAACCTATTCTGTTTGGCTAATAAATGTGTGCACCGTACATAATTTACATTTTGTACCATTCTTTCAGGCTATTGCCAAGAAGCTAGCTGACCTCAGTCAAAATGGGGTCACCACGATTATTGGAGGAGGTGATTCTGTTGCAGCTGTAGAGAAAGTTGGAGTTGCCAATGTCATGAGCCACATATCTACTGGTGGTGGTGCCAGTTTGGAGTTATTGGAAGGCAAAGAGCTTCCTGGAGTCCTTGCTCTTGATGAAGCCACACCAGTCCCTGTGTAAGACAATTTTCAGCTTGGAAAATTTTCCCATCCTGAGTTGTCAGTCTTGTGAAAGAGCATGTGTTTTAGGACCGATCCGAGTCTGTTAGTGTAAATTTAATCATGCTTGAGTTATTGACTTCACTCATAAATTGCGTGTAACTGTAAACACCGGCTGAGAGCCATAAATTCAAATAAATCCTTGAGTTGCTGCCAGAAGCATTTTGCACTTTGATTTGTCTTATGTCACACTCCTGACTGGCGCCATTTGGTCCCGGGTACACTGTAACAAGTCTTAAACAACTACGAGGATTATTGTAGGAACAGAAGATGAAAGGTATGGTGCAAAATTTGCTGCCAGTGTAATGTAATTTAAATTCAAATAAATCTATTGGTTGCTGCCAGAAGCTATTTACACTTTGCTTTTATCTTATGTCTTCCTGCAAAATCCTTGAACACGAACCAAGTTTATGTCGGCATTGTATGCATTTCTTTATTTTATCTTCCAGGGGCGTTTGCACTCAATGACGTGACTGTCCTATGTCAAGAGAGATTGCAACCAATGATTCTTGTGAATTTAGAATTTTTAGCCAATGTTTATTTCGGCCAATGTTTATTTCGGTTCATCTGACGCTTAAGAGGATATGAGAAGATTAGAGAGGATTGGAATGGTTTGTTTGAGTTGATTTCCTAGAAGTGGCTAGGAAAGTTCTGGGAGCTCCACTAGTATTACTTTCAATGAGTTGTACTTGGATTTATTTAATGAAAAATCAATTTAAACTTTTGAATATATTTATGTCATCCATTGAGAAATCAAGAATCTATTGGCCTAATAATCGACTTCTTAAGGAGTGACAATGTCAAAAAGAAAAAAAATTACTTTTCTTCTAATTTTTCCATTGTTTTAAACTCAACACTTTATACTAGTTAACATGTCTTTATATACCTCAACAAAATGATATAACAATAGAAAATAGACATTTAGTTAAAATTGTTCATAGGACAATGTCATTCTTACTATTTGTTATCTTATAAATAAAATGTATAATAAAGTTTCATATTTCATTGTGTTTTTAAACAAATCTCTCTTTTATGTTTCTCCTCAAATCTTTTGTTCTTATGTGTTTTGTACATGATGTGTCTCTAAGTTTAGATAAATTTTCAACTTAAACTATCAAATATTTTTTTTAGGATATTCTCATATTTAAGAAGGTATTGATATTATTCAATCAAAACTAAAAGATATTAATTTCTATAAGTATCACATTTTTTTAAGAAACTCGTTTTAAGAAATTGTTAGAATATATGAAATTGTTAAAAGAAGTATTTAATGCAAGTAAGTGGAAGTTATATTGAAAAAACTAGTATATATTGTACTTATTATTAACATTAACTACCTAAACATTTTAAGAGAGATAGTCTTTGAGATAATAATCTCTTAATTTCTTTTTTGGAATTTTCAGTCTTAAAGTTTTTATAATTGATCATGTGAACATTGATATCACAATCTCGGGATGACTATTGTGGGATAATTTAACAATTTAAAGAAAAATGTCATTTTAATGCCTTATTCTTTTCTATAAGCATGAAGAAACTTTAAGATGCAAAGATTGTGTGATAGTGACTACATTGGGGAATTGGTAGAGGAAAAATTCAAGTGAAGGGTACCACTTTGTGAAAGGAAATGAAATTCCAAATTTCATGAGTCAACTTCAGAAGTAAAATATTGCAAGTTTTTGCACTAAACTCCACTAGATTAAGAATCAATATTGGAGCAGTACAATGCTCTGAGAGTAAATTTCTTTCACAATATCACTCCTGGTTGGTGGCTGTGAAGTCTTATCCTTCTGATGACAAATCAAGTATGTGGGGAGGAAGGCATTGAATGATTGAAAAAGACATGGATCCCATGAACTCTAGAAAAAAAAAACCTGAGAGACAGAACACTAGGTGTAACAAACAGCCTTGGACTACTGTTCTCTTGTTTGATTCTTTTCTGTGAAACATCCTATGCCACAAAATTGAAGTCTCTATCTTTCTCCAAACCATGGGCTTGCCACATGATAAGATATTTACTATTGAAACTACAAAAGGGAAACACAACTCTTAATGGCATTTTGCTGGTTTTGTTACATGAAAACAACCGTGTTTCCTGATTCATATTCTTTTCAGGATAACTTTTATTTATTTTATTGTGTGGCTACATTTTTCCTTGTTCATTTACTTATATGACATACGTGGCATAATTTCCTGTCACTATTTCAAAGTTTTTAATTTTATTTTTTTTACATAATGTTCAGGATGTACAAGTTGTAGCTCAATATTCTTCTGTTCAGCACCTGTTTGAAACCTTCCATTTGTAAGAATTGGGATCTAAATGTTAGTAATATTTTAAATATTATATCATTTTCAATTTTTATTTTTAAGAAACATAACATGATCTATTAAGAGGTTAATTTTTGTTTCAACGTCAAACCTATTCATTTTTTTAACCTTGTGATGTACAGACTTTGTAAAGGGAACAGTGTCAAAATACCCCCTCATACCCCTTTGTGATCTTTATTCTAGAATACTCCTCTGTTTTCTTTTGCCCCTCTATTACTCTCCCTCTCTATATTTTGCTTTACTACTGTATCAAAATTTTCACTTATAATAACATTTCACAAAAAGCTCTGTAATGTCTTTCTCGTTCTCTACTTTGTAAAAGTTTGCCTTGCTACTGCTTTGTCACCAGATAATTCACTTTCACTGCACAGTCTACCAATAACCTCCTTTGAAGCTCTCAGAACTCTTCTTTTAAATTATTTTTCTTTTCCCTTTCTCTCTTCTTTGCCCAACAACCTTGAGTGTCAATTAACAAATACTTTGTANATCGATTTTGTTATAGTTTTGGTAATGTTGATGTAGGCTGTCTTGATGCAAGTATAAGAGTACATTTGTGTCTACTATTATGGTTGAACTTGTAAGTTGAATTGTTGCAATTTTTCATATAATTTCTAGGGGCGACCGAAGGGTGTCACTCCCAAATACAGCTTGGCTCCTCTTGTATCTCGGATTTCTGAACTCCTTGGTTTCCCGGTATGTTTATGTATTGATCATTGTGGAATATGTATGAAGAGATCTTTTTAGTGTTGTAATTTTCCTGGTGGTTATGATAATGTTCTTGACTTATGTTTTTTATTTGAATAATTTGCAGGTTGTCAAGGCTGAGGATAGTATTGGTCCAGAAGTGGAAAAGTTGGTGGCTTCTCTTCCTGAAGGAGGTGTTCTTCTTCTAGAAAATGTGAGGTTTTACAAGGAGGAAGAAAAGAATGATCCTGAGCATGCAAAAAAGCTTGCCTCTCTAGCAGATCTGTTTGTGAATGATGCATTTGGTACTGCTCATAGGGCACATGCATCAACAGAGGGGGTTACTAAATACTTGAAGCCATCTGTTGCTGGTTTTCTTTTGCAAAAGGTGTGTTTATCGCTTCGCTTTTAGCTAACTCTAAAATTCTGCAAAAATAAAGCTCCTGAAAGTTTCAATGCCACAATACCACCATTTTCATTGTGAATGATCTTATAAAATTAATAAATTTTTATCACTTGATGTAAAATGAAACTTTACCTAAAATGTCAAATACTCTACTAGGAAAAGTTTTTAATAACTATTTTCACGTGGATTGTTCATTTTTTAGGAACTTGATTACCTTGTTGGGGCAGTATCAAGCCCAAAAAGACCATTTGCTGCCATTGTTGGTGGTTCCAAGGTCTCATCTAAAATTGGAGTGATTGAGTCACTTTTAGAAAAGGTTGATATCCTTCTTCTTGGTGGAGGAATGATCTTCACATTTTACAAGGCACAAGGTCTTTCAGTGGGTTCTTCCCTTGTAGAGGAAGATAAATTGGATCTTGCTACATCACTACTTGCAAAAGCCAAGGAAAATGGGGTGTCTCTCTTGTTACCAAGTGATGTGGTGATTGCGGACAAATTTGCTCCCGATGCAAATAGCAAGGTTTGTTTTCTGGTTTCTAAGCTTCTTTAGCTAAACATATCGGTCATAGTAAGTTAAACCACATAAAATATTAATAATATTGCAAACTCTTACTTGTAATATTATTCTTTATTCAATCTGAATCATTTGCAACTAGCACTTAAATTCTTCCTTAACCTTTTAGGTCGTGCCAGCATCTGCCATCCCTGATGGCTGGATGGGATTGGATATTGGTCCAGATTCTGTTAAATCATTCAGTGAAGCATTGGATACAACCAAAACCATCATATGGAATGGACCAATGGGAGTGTTTGAATTTGACAAGTTTGCTGTTGGTACAGAGGTATGCGAGAACACACTAATAAGGAGCTCTGTTCAAATTACATTTTAAAGCAAATGTTTTCTGTAAATATAAACAATGTCCACTCAAATTGATGCGTATACTCTCAGTAATATACAGTAGGAGTTAGTTTTCGTGATGTGACTTGTACATCTCCATAAACTATATTCTTCCGATTAGGGGTGATTCAAATGTCGGCTTACGAATAACCTATTCTGTTTGGCTAATAAATGTGTGCACCGTACATAATTTACATTTTGTACCATTCTTTCAGGCTATTGCCAAGAAGCTAGCTGACCTCAGTCAAAATGGGGTCACCACGATTATTGGAGGAGGTGATTCTGTTGCAGCTGTAGAGAAAGTTGGAGTTGCCAATGTCATGAGCCACATATCTACTGGTGGTGGTGCCAGTTTGGAGTTATTGGAAGGCAAAGAGCTTCCTGGAGTCCTTGCTCTTGATGAAGCCACACCAGTCCCTGTGTAAGACAATTTTCAGCTTGGAAAATTTTCCCATCCTGAGTTGTCAGTCTTGTGAAAGAGCATGTGTTTTAGGACCGATCCGAGTCTGTTAGTGTAAATTTAATCATGCTTGAGTTATTGACTTCACTCATAAATTGCGTGTAACTGTAAACACCGGCTGAGAGCCATAAATTCAAATAAATCCTTGAGTTGCTGCCAGAAGCATTTTGCACTTTGATTTGTCTTATGTCACACTCCTGACTGGCGCCATTTGGTCCCGGGTACACTGTAACAAGTCTTAAACAACTACGAGGATTATTGTAGGAACAGAAGATGAAAGGTATGGTGCAAAATTTGCTGCCAGTGTAATGTAATTTAAATTCAAATAAATCTATTGGTTGCTGCCAGAAGCTATTTACACTTTGCTTTTATCTTATGTCTTCCTGCAAAATCTTTGAACACGAACCAAGTTTATGTCGGCATTGTATGCATTTCTTTATTTTATCTTCCAGGGGCGTTTGCACTCAATGACGTGACTGTCTTATGTCAAGAGAGATTGCAACCAATGATTCTTGTGAATTTAGAATTTTTAGCCAATGTTTATTTCGGCCAATGTTTATTTCGGTTCATCTGACGCTTAAGAGGATATGAGAAGATTAGAGAGGATTGGAATGGTTTGTTTGAGTTGATTTCCTAGAAGTGGCTAGGAAAGTTCTGGGAGCTCCACTAGTATTTCTTTCAATGAGTTGTACTTGGATTTATTTAATGAAAAATCAATTTAAACTTTTGAATATATTTATGTCATCCATTGAGAAATCAAGAATCTATTGGCCTAATAATCGACTTCTTAAGGAGTGACAATGTCAAAAAGAAAAAAAATTACTTTTCTTCTAATTTTTCCATTGTTTTAAACTCAACACTTTATACTAGTTAATATGTCTTTATATACCTCAACAAAATGATATAACAATAGAAAATAGACATTTAGTTAAAATTGTTCATAGGACAATGTCATTCTTACTATTTGTTATCTTATAAATAAAATGTATAATAAAGTTTCATATTTCATTGTGTTTTTAAACAAATCTCTCTTTTATGTTTCTCCTCGAATCTTTTGTTCGTATCTCTAAGTTTAGATAAATTTTCAACTTAAACTATCAAATATTTTTTTAGGATATTCTCATATTTAAGAAGGTATTGATATTATTCAATTAAAACTAAGATATTAATGTCTATAAGTATCACATTTTTTTAAGAAACTCATTTGAAGAAATTGTATACTCCAACTTGAAGAAATTGTTAGAATATATGAAATTGTTAAAAGAAGTATTTAATGCAAGTAAGTGGAAGTTATATTGAAAAAACTAGTATATATTGTACTTATTATTAACATTAACTACCTAAACATTTTAAGAGAGATAGTCTTTGAGATAATCNTTTGAATTGTTAATTCAAGCGTTTGTGATTGTAACATCTTTATCTTTCAATCTCCTCTCGCATTTTCTATTTTTTTAATAATTGTGTACAAATTGTTGGAAATGATCCATTTTCCGTAATCCTTGGTGAGGCATTCATCAAGTTGTCTCCAATTTCCAACTATATCAGTAATTGTGAGGGAATTGCCACTGCAAGTTATAACCTTGTTGTGCTCATCTTTTGAGGGAATTTAAGTGATTTATTTACTTCAAAGAGCTTTTTCTCTTCGATTTTTTTTTTTCTAAAATCAGTCTTTATACAACTCTGTATGTAGATTAACGAGGTTTCGTGAATTTTTTAATTATTGCCAATTATGCTGTATTTGCCTTGTCATATTTAATAACTTTGAAGTTTAATTATATGCTTTGAGTTTTGGGTCTGTGGTTATTTTCTTAAAAAATATTAGGAGAGAAAGGGTGCTTCAATTAGTAGAACAATCTAAATTCTTGTCTTAGATGTGAAATTTGTTGTCAGAAGAAATGTCCGGATGGTTGAAAAAAAATCGATTTTGTTATAGTTTTGGTAATGTTGATGTAGGCTGTCTTGATGCAAGTATAAGAGTACATTTGTGTCTACTATTATGGTTGAACTTGTAAGTTGAATTGTTGCAATTTTTCATATAATTTCTAGGGGCGACCGAAGGGTGTCACTCCCAAATACAGCTTGGCTCCTCTTGTATCTCGGATTTCTGAACTCCTTGGTTTCCCGGTATGTTTATGTATTGATCATTGTGGAATATGTATGAAGAGATCTTTTAAGTGTTGTAATTTTCCTGGTGGTTATGATAATGTTCTTGACTTATGTTTTTTATTTGAATAATTTGCAGGTTGTCAAGGCTGAGGATAGTATTGGTCCAGAAGTGGAAAAGTTGGTGGCTTCTCTTCCAGAAGGAGGTGTTCTTCTTCTAGAAAATGTGAGGTTTTACAAGGAGGAAGAAAAGAATGATCCTGAGCATGCAAAAAAGCTTGCCTCTCTAGCAGATCTGTTTGTGAATGATGCATTTGGTACTGCTCATAGGGCACATGCATCAACAGAGGGGGTTACTAAATACTTGAAGCCATCTGTTGCTGGTTTTCTTTTGCAAAAGGTGTGTTTATCGCTTCGCTTTTAGCTAACTCTAAAATTCTGCAAAAATAAAGCTCCTGAAAGTTTCAATGCCACAATACCACCATTTTCATTGTGAATGATCTTATAAAATTAATAAATTTTTATCACTTGATGTAAAATGAAACTTTACCTAAAATGTCAAATACTCTACTAGGAAAAGTTTTTAATAACTATTTTCACGGGGATTGTTCATTTTTTAGGAACTTGATTACCTTGTTGGGGCAGTATCAAGCCCAAAAAGACCATTTGCTGCCATTGTTGGTGGTTCCAAGGTCTCATCTAAAATTGGAGTGATTGAGTCACTTTTAGAAAAGGTTGATATCCTTCTTCTAGGTGGAGGAATGATCTTCACATTTTACAAGGCACAAGGTCTTTCAGTGGGTTCTTCCCTTGTAGAGGAAGATAAATTGGATCTTGCTACATCACTACTTGCAAAAGCCAAGGAAAACGGGGTGTCTCTCTTGTTACCAAGTGATGTGGTGATTGCGGACAAATTTGCTCCCGATGCAAATAGCAAGGTTTGTTTTCTGGTTTCTAAGCTTCTTTAGCTAAACATATCGGTCATAGTAAGTTAAACCACATAAAATATTAATAATATTGCAAACGCTTACTTGTAATATTATTCTTTATTCAATCTGAATCATTTGCAACTAGCACTTAAATTCTTCCTTAACCTTTTAGGTCGTGCCAGCATCTGCCATCCCTGATGGCTGGATGGGATTGGATATTGGTCCAGATTCTGTTAAATCATTCAGTGAAGCATTGGATACAACCAAAACCATCATATGGAATGGACCAATGGGAGTGTTTGAATTTGACAAGTTTGCTGTTGGTACAGAGGTATGCGAGAACACACTAATAAGGAGCTCTGTTCAAATTACATTTTAAAGCAAATGTTTTCTGTAAATATAAACAATGTCCACTCAAATTGATGCGTATACTCTCAGTAATATACAGTAGGAGTTAGTTTTCGTGATGTGACTTGTACATCTCCATAAACTATATTCTTCCGATTAGGGGTGATTCAAATGTCGGCTTACGAATAACCTATTCTGTTTGGCTAATAAATGTGTGCACCGTACATAATTTACATTTTGTACCATTCTTTCAGGCTATTGCCAAGAAGCTAGCTGACCTCAGTCAAAATGGGGTCACCACGATTATTGGAGGAGGTGATTCTGTTGCAGCTGTAGAGAAAGTTGGAGTTGCCAATGTCATGAGCCACATATCTACTGGTGGTGGTGCCAGTTTGGAGTTATTGGAAGGCAAAGAGCTTCCTGGAGTCCTTGCTCTTGATGAAGCCACACCAGTCCCTGTGTAAGACAATTTTCAGCTTGGAAAATTTTCCCATCCTGAGTTGTCAGTCTTGTGAAAGAGCATGTGTTTTAGGACCGATCCGAGTCTGTTAGTGTAAATTTAATCATGCTTGAGTTATTGACTTCACTCATAAATTGCGTGTAACTGTAAACACCGGCTGAGAGCCATAAATTCAAATAAATCCTTGAGTTGCTGCCAGAAGCATTTTGCACTTTGATTTGTCTTATGTCACACTCCTGACTGGCGCCATTTGGTCCCGGGTACACTGTAACAAGTCTTAAACAACTACGAGGATTATTGTAGGAACAGAAGATGAAAGGTATGGTGCAAAATTTGCTGCCAGTGTAATGTAATTTAAATTCAAATAAATCTATTGGTTGCTGCCAGAAGCTATTTACACTTTGCTTTTATCTTATGTCTTCCTGCAAAATCATTGAACACGAACCAAGTTTATGTCGGCATTGTATGCATTTCTTTATTTTATCTTCCAGGGGCGAAACTGTTAGCACTCAATGACGTGACTGTCATATGTCAAGAGAGATTGCAACCAATGATTCTTGTGAATTTAGAACTTTTAGCCAATGTTTATTTCGGTTCATCTGACGCTTAAGAGGATATGAGAAGATTAGAGAGGATTGGAATGGTTTGTTTGAGTTGATTTCCTAGAAGTGGCTAGGAAAGTTCTGGGAGCTCCACTAGTATTGCTTTCAATGAGTTGTACTTGGATTTATTTAATGAAAAATCAATTTAAACTTTTGAATATATTTATGTCATCCATTGAGAAATCAAGAATCTATTGGCCTAATAATCGACTTCTTAAGGAGTGACAATGTCAAAAAGAAAAAAAATTACTTTTCTTCTAATTTTTCCATTGTTTTAAACTCAACACTTTATACTAGTTAATATGTCTTTATATACCTCAACAAAATGATATAACAATAGAAAATAGACATTTAGTTAAAATTGTTCATAGGACAATGTCATTCTTACTATTTGTTATCTTATAAATAAAAGGTATAATAAAGTTTCATATTTCATTGTGTTTTTAAACAAATCTCTCTTTTATGTTTCTCCTCGAATCTTTTGTTCGTATCTCTAAGTTTAGATAAATTTTCAACTTAAACTATCAAATATTTTTTTAGGATATTCTCATATTTAAGAAGGTATTGATATTATTCAATTAAAACTAAGATATTAATGTCTATAAGTATCACATTTTTTTAAGAAACTCATTTGAAGAAATTGTATACTCCAACTTGAAGAAATTGTTAGAATATATGAAATTGTTAAAAGAAGTATTTAATGCAAGTAAGTGGAAGTTATATTGAAAAAACTAGTATATATTGTACTTATTATTAACATTAACTACCTAAACATTTTAAGAGAGATAGTCTTTGAGATAATCAATCTCTTAATTTCTTTTTTGGAATTTTCAAAAGTTTTTATAATTGATCATGTGAACATTGATATCACAATCTCGGGGATGACTATTGTGGGATAATTTAACAATTTAAAGAAAAATGTCATTTTAATGCCTTATTCTTTTCTATAAGCATGAAGAAACTTTAAGGATGCAAAGATTGTGTGATAGTGACTACATTGGGGAATTGGTAGAGGAAAAATTCAAGTGAAGGGTACCACTTTGTGAAAGGAAATGAAATTCTAAATTTCATGAGTCAACTTCAGAAGTAAAATATTGCAAGTTTTTGCACTAAACTCCACTAGATTAAGAATCAATATTGGAGCACTACAATGTCTCTGAGAGTAAATTTCTTTCACAATATCACTCCTGGTTGGTGGCTGTGAAGTCTTATCCTTCTGATGACAAATCAAGTATGTGGGGAGGAAGGCATTGAATGATTGAAAAAGACATGGATCCCATGAACTCTAGAAGAAAAAAAAAACCTGAGAGACAGAACACTAGGTGTAACAAACAGCCTTGGACTACTGTTCTCTTGTTTGATTCTTTTTCTGTGAAACATCCTATGCCACAAAATTGAAGCCTCTATTTTTTTTCGAAACAATGGGCTTGCCACATGATAAGATATTTACTATTGAAACTACAAAAGGGAAACACAACTCTTAATGGCATTTTGCTGGTTTTGTTACATGAAAACAACCGTGTTTTCTGATTCATATTCTTTTCAGGATAACTTTTATTTATTTTATTGTGTGGCTACATTTTTCCTTGTTCATTTACTTATATGACATACGTGGCGTAATTTCCTGTCACTATCTCAAAGTTTTTAATTTTTTTTTTTTTACATAATGTTCAGGATGTACAAGCTGTAGCTCAATATTCTTCTGTTCAGCACCTGTCTGAAACCTTCCATTTGTAAGAATTGGGATCTAAATGTTAGTAATATTTTAAATATTATATCATTTTTAATTTTTATTTTTAAGAAACATAATTTATTCTAGAATACTCCTGTTTTCTTCTGCCGCTCTATTACTCTCTCTCTATATTTTGCTTTACTACTGTATCAAAATTTTCACTTATAATAACATTTCACAAAAAGCTCTCTAATGTCTTCCTCTACTTTGTAAAAGTTTGCCTTGCTACTGGTTTGTCACCAGATAATTCACTTTCACTGCACAGTCTACCAATAACCTCCTTTGAAGCTCTCAGAACTCTTCTTTTAAATTATTTTTCTTTTCCCTTTCTCTCTTCTTTGCCCAACAACCTTGAGTGTCAATTAACAAATACTTTGTAAACATTAAACTACAAATTTCGTTAACCAAACGTGGAATACCGTGTTCCCAAAACCAAAGGGTGAGTGTAATCCACTGATTAGCACAGTCCTCTCATTGAAGTTGAATGCCACCTACCGGTCAAAAACATCAATATACCACGTAATTACAGCATTTGCATTCGGTTCTAAAACTACACTACTTATCCTTGTATCCAATTAAAATATTCTGTCATAATAGACAACCCCCACACAAGTTTTCTTTTTATCCTAAGTTGCTGGAACTCAACCATAATAATGGCATAAACTACAAACCAGCGAAGACATTTCATGCAGATAAATTTCTAATTAAAAATAACAATTTAGAAGCAAATCCAAAACAACGCTGAGAAAACCAAAGGAACGTAACAAAAGGAAACTCCTTCGGAAATGGACATTGTACAAGAACTACAATAAAGCTCAATTCGGCAACATAAATGCCACAAAACCCTCTTATTTTGAAACCTATCATCTATTAAGCCTCTACATGAGTTACAGCTCTCATTGTAACAATAAAAGCATAAACTTCAAAGGAATTTGCTCAAGCATCATCAAGAGCAAGGACACCAGGGAGTTGCTTCCCCTCAAGAAGCTCTAAGCTGGCACCACCACCAGTGGAGATGTGGCTCATCTTATCTGCAAGTCCAACCTTCTCCACAGCAGCCACAGAGTCACCTCCTCCAATGATGGTTGTTACTCCCTTCCCACTAAGCTCTGCCAGTTTCTTGGCTATAGCCTGTGCACAAAAGGGTGTATAGTCATCAAGAAATGGTAACTGAAATTCACTAGTATCATTCACTTCTTATATATGCATTTTGACATTTCACAGTATACAAAAGTTTTCTCACTGATAGCATTTCCTTCTGTTATAAGCATATATTAATATCAATTAAATATAAATATATAGAAATATATACTTACAAAGGTGTAAATATAAATTTTAAACCTAACTCTAAGACCAATTTATAAGACGAGACCGAAGATAAAATTTCTATCTACTTATATATTCTAAACTAATCTTATCATTAGTCAATGTAGACTTTCTATACACTTTTCTTACACCAAAAAATATACATTTAATTCATGGTTCTAATACCATGTTAAAAATAAACTTTAAACTTAAATGAACTCCACAATACCATGTTAAAAAATAAATTTTAAATTTAAATGAACTCCACAAAATCAATTTTTAAGATAAAATTTGTATCCATTTATATACTCTAAACTAATCTTATCATTAGTCAATGGACTTCCAATACACTTTCCTCGTGCAAAGAAATATACATGACTAGACATTTATAGATGATCCCATACCAGTCTGATAACAAATAGAACAATACCTAACAAACAACATATACCTAATAAACCTAACTACAATATTAAATATATAATAAAATACTATGTACGAAATTAATTTCTCTTATGTAAAGAATATACATAGGATATTTTATTTATAAAGAAAGAAATATTGAATAAACCCAAAATAAATAAAAAATAATAAAATAACATAAGTAAATGAAGACAAAAGATAAATATAAGATATACAATAATCTAATATATCTAACAAGTCCAACATTGAATAAGTGAAAAGGTAAGAGGTGAATCTTCTCATCATACATTATAAAAGACTCAAGTGCATAGTAAATCCTATGTGTCCCACACACGTCCACAGGAAGAAAAGTGACTTTCCTTTATAAAATAATAAAAACAAAATAAGTAGCAAACTAAGTTTTGCCTATTTGTTTGAAAGATATTACATTGCAAGAATGTTTTGCTATAAATCACTGTCAATCCATTTTGTAGTAGATCACATTTAATTGTTTCATTAATTTGGATTATGCTTTCAAAATTATAATGGATGATTTACTATTTTTATCATTCATACCTCTGTTCCTGCGGCAAACTTTTCAAACTCAAAAACGCCCATTGGTCCATTCCAAATGATAGTTTGGGTGGTATCCAATGCTTCACTAAATGTCTTGATGGAATCAGGACCAATATCCAATCCCATCCATCCATCGGGAATGCTTGAGGCTGGAACAATCTGAGAATATATAAATAAAGTTAAAAGTGTATCTCAACAATTGAAACATTACTATTTATAAGTGCATTGGAATGTCTGAAATGAGTAAAATAAACCCTCTAAATCATAGATTTCACAAATGTTCCGTAGTCCGTGGTTGATCATTTGTTTGAAGAGAGCCTTCCCATGATAAAGGGAGGGGTGAAAATTAGCAACACTGGACTAAACAAGCAAAAACCTAGTACCTTGCTGTTAGCATCAGCAGCAAACTTGTCTGCTATGACCACATCAGTTGGAAGCAACAAAGAAACCCCTTTAGCCTTGGCCTTTTCAAGAAGAGAAGTTGCAAGGTCTAGTTTATCTTCTTCCACAAGAGATGACCCAACGGAATGACCCTGAGCCTTGTAAAAGGTAAAGATCATTCCTCCACCAAGCAAAAGAATATTAACTTTCTCCAACAAGGATTCAATAACTCCAATCTTGGAAGACACCTTTGACCCACCCACAATAGCAGCAAATGGCTTCTTGGGGTTAGACACGGCTCCAACTAGATAATCAAGTTCCTGAAACAGTTAAACAAATAACAGATTAATCAACTGCATAAATTACATTAGTTAGCCAACATATATAATGGAACTAACAATTACGTCCTACAAACCTTCTGCATAAGGAATCCTGCAACAGAAGGCTTCAAATATTTGGCCACTCCTTCTGTGGAAGCATGAGCTCTGTGGGCAGTGCCAAATGCATCATTCACATAGATATCAGCAAGAGATGCCAGCTTCTTTGCAAACTCAGGATCATTCTTTTCTTCCTCTTTGTAGAATCTAACATTCTCTAGAAGCAAAACACCACCTTCTGGAAGTCCTGCAACCAACTTCTCAACTTCCTCCCCAATACTGTCATTTGCAATTTTGACCTATAATCAAGAGTCGTGGCACAATGAAGTAACAGTACATCAGAAAATAAAAAGGGGGAACATCTAAATAAATAACTAGAACAGATAAGAGGCAAACCTCAAGTTCTAGAAGTTGAGAAAGCCTTGGCACAAGAGGCTTCAAACTGTATTTAGGTGTAACACCTTTCGGACGTCCCTGGAAACAGGATAGTCAAGGAAAAATCACGTTTCAAGTCACTACTACTCACATCACATTTATCTTACATCCATGGTTTTATGTTAACTCGTTAACTAATACACCCGAAAGAAAAAGGTTAATAATAAAATAAAAGAAAGATATCGCAACAGCTACATTAGTTGCAAAACAGTCATTCAAATTGACATGTTTTACAGATCTCGTTATATAGACTGAATTGATCACTTTAAAACCAATTTCAATAAAGAGGCATGTTACCCAAGCTGGGAGCAACGGAAATAAAACTCAACAATAAAAATTACTTACTTCTACAATTATAAAACAAGAGATCTTCTCATTTAAGAAAGAAATGGACAAAAAACAATTATAGATATAACAAGCATCAATGTTAGTAACAATTAAGTTTCCTCTTTCTTCCTTTCAGATTTGAATCCTCAAAAATTAAAAGCAAAAAAAAAGACAGTGAAAGACATGGTTTTCCCAGTTACCATCAATTAAACAAACACAGATAGCCAATAGAGAATCAACCTAAAACCACAATAGTAACAAAACATTAAATCCAACGATCACACAAACCCAGATTCCAAATCATTCGTAGTCTAAAACAAAACACACCCAGACACATTAAAACCACGAAAATAGCTAAATAGACCATACCAAATGGCTAGAGAGGATCACTTTGGCACCATAACCAGTCAAGTACTTGATGGTGGGAACTGCAGCACGGATTCTAGTGTCATCGGTGATCTTTAAGTCATCATCCAAAGGCACGTTCAGATCGACTCTAACGAACACCCTTTTCCCCTTCAAATCAGCCTCCTTCAAAGTTCCCACGCTCCTCTTCGTAGCCATTCTCCTTAAATCTGCACAAGCGCAAATCCGAAACCAGAAATGGATCAGAACCCTGAAGAGGAAACCGGAAAAAGAATCAAACTTTGAGGGCGAAACTCACGAAAAGTAAGGTTGAAATCTCAGTGTAGTGTGGTAGAGATCAGATTAGGACGAGGCCCGTGTAGGAACGTTCTAGAAAATTTATAGAGGTGGGTAGCACCCGTGCGTACGACACGTGTGAGGGTTTGTGGCTTGTTTTGCTCTGTTTGGGGAACCTTTTTTTTCCGGGTGGCACAGTGGGCGCGCTGGAACTATAAAAGCGGAATCTGATGACCAAAGGGAGGGACTTTCAGTGCGACAAAACATGGCAGTATTCTCGGCCCAACGTTTTTGCCCCTTTTTTTTGGGTCCATTGTTTGATTTCACGAAGATCTGACATCAATTTACGATTGAATCTTAAAATGTAACATTAGTCTTAAGTAATTTTCTGAATGAACATTTTTAATCTATAACAAATTTTAATTAAGGATTTAATTTTTTAAATTTTCGAAAATATTAAAAAAATTGGTTCACATCTAATTACTAATAAAACAAAAATAATACATATTTGTAAGTAAGAGGTTTAGAAACAAGAGGCATACTAGAGTCACGAAGAGAGTCTTTCTTATTAATTTGGGAGCTCACGGTTTCATGTTTTTGTTCCACTTTTCAAAGAAACTTCTCTTCGTTTCCTTGTAGCATTTAAATTAAACGTGAAGGTGGATTAAAGTTGTTTAATTTTGAGAACCAAATCTACTATTAAATTATATAAGAACCAAATTCTCATAGTCACAAAACAATACAGATCAAAATTTTATTTAATCCAAAAACATATTAATTAAAGCTAGGTTTAATATTAGTCCATAAGTTTGTTAGGTTTGTTAAAATGGTCTTACCTTTCTTTTTCAAATGTTCACATTTATCTTATATTTTGTATAAATTGTTCAAGTTTGTTTTTTTTGCTTATGCAGTTAAAAACATTAACGACCTAATGTCTAACTTAGCCAACAGCGAATGATATGTTCAATTTTTCATTACGTGACAATATCAACCCAATTGATGTGACAATGTTAATGTAAAAGGAAAGAAGGACACCTAATATTTCAAAATAACTAGGTTTTGCTTCTTCACTCAGAACCCAAGGAGCAACATCAACACCAGCCACTACGCTGTTGTGGTGCAACCAAAGACATCGGCGATGCCGTGTTTGACGTCACTTTCGATGACGCTCACATCTCGTTCTTCTTCTTTGTGCGAAATTTTTTCCAAATCCTCAAGTCTCTTTTTGTTAGAGAAATAAAGATTGAGATTAGAAACCACCTCTCTTAATAGATAAGAGATGAAAGGCACTTCCTTTTGACATAGAAAATGATTAACAACTTGACCATGCTTTGTAGATATACTCCACCACTTATACGCACTAAGAAAGAACACTTTTTTCTACAAGCACCTAGTTCACAAGCTCCCTTTTCACAAACACAAAAAGCTTCCCTTAGACATACAACTTTAATACTCTTAGTGAAAAGTTATTATAAGCTTGGTTAAGTTAACTATTTATAGACTTTTACATTTGAAAATTAGGTAAGAAAACTAAGAATCAAGTGCACAACTGTCATTGATAATCAATTATCATAAGTGATAATCGATTATTCCAGAAACATTTTCAAATAACAATTTCTTTTTGTGAGATAATCAATTATCACAAAGGCATTTATGAAATTCTTGATTTTAATTGGATAATCGATTATCATTAGTGATAATCGATTATCATAAAGATTTTTATGAAAAATAAAAATTTTCTAAGTGCTCTACTCCTTGGGTTCTACTTATTGACTCTTGAACTACTAAATTAAATACAATACACATATTACAAGACTTTAACAACTAAATTATCAAGTCTTCAATGTATCTCTTGCATCCAAACATCCTTTAAATCTTCAACACTTCTCCATGAAACACCATCATCAAAATCCTTTACTAAAGTAAGATGACCATTTTCTTTTTGCTAACAAATTTCATGTACTAAATCAATATGAAAACATTAAACAATATACTTCTGATTCCTACTCTATCATTCACACGTCTATTTAACATGTCATAATGTTTTAGAAACAAGTCTAAACTTATTAATAAAAGCCCTAATGTTTTAGATATTTTTATTAAAAGTTTGCATTAAGCATTAAGTTCGGATGTTTTGAATGACCAACTTATGAACTCTATGTCTAGTGCACACTGAATTAATTATTTTATCCTAGTCTAGGTTCCAACATCGTATCCAATAATCAGATATCCACAAATATGCAATCAATAAATTATCATGCCCTTAAGAAATAGAACGAAACACAAAAGTATTGGAAAAAAATATATATATAATAGTAGAAAACACAAAAAGTTAATATATATTAAGTTCAACCCACATAAATAAGGGAGTTAGTTACTTCTATACATTATGAACACTATAAACAAATAATAATGAATGCTTCCAACCTCCAAAATTAGTATCCACTTTTAGATCTAGTTCCCTTTCTCTAAAACTACTTTGAATGCTTTAAAATTCATTAAAGCCTTTTATTTATAAATTTTCCAAACTACAAAGCTCGTTGGGCTAGACTTGAAATTTTCCAAAATGCATGTTTAACTCCTTCTGATCGAACAAGTATTTCAGACTCTTATGATTACATTAGTACAAAAATACCGTATAACGTCGGTGTTTTTTGGCCTTTCACGTAAAATTCGAGGTCGACGTCATATCAGGAGACGTTAAATTGAAGTCGAACATAGAATAGTTCGACGTTCAAAGTAAAATAAATTAACGTCGAATTTTGTCAATATTCGACGTTAATTTTTTTGTTTTTTTAATTAATTATGATCATTTTTACAACTCTACGAGACTTGAAAAGCAGCAAAACAACAAATTTCAGTTTTTGGTATTTTATAAAGCATGAATTATGAACGTGTAGTGTAGTATCAACAACAAACAACAGTAACAAACAATAAACAAGTTCAATCAAACAACAACAACAAACAGTTTCAACCAAACAACAACAACAAACAGGTTCAACAAAAAAAAACAAAAAACAAGTTCAACAAATAAGTTCTCCAAAACGAAAATGAAAACTAACCTTCAAAAGATGGGTTCGTCGAAATAAATTGTTGCCACCAGTGAGAGAGTAGAATGTGCGTATGAAGGACAAGAACACGAAAATAATCAGTCAATACAAACGAAAATCATACCTAAAGTAGTTAATTAACATGCATTTGTAACAAATGAAAGAAAGATTACATGTGATGGTCCTCAAACTTCATTCCAAATTGAGCAGAAAAGAGGGTATCACGCGCTAAGATAAAGTGAATGAATTTTCAATCTCCCGCTCAAAGTTTTAATGAATTCACTAACCTTTTAACGTCTAACGCTTGGGCATTCGACATTTTATATACTTTTGATGTATAATTCTAGGGAATTCGACGTAATACGTAAATAGACTTTCACCTTCCCGCCAAGCATTTTCGCAAATTTACCCAATATAACAAATTGATGTCGAATTATAATTCTAAACGACGTCTAATGATTGTATTTATTTACAAAAAAGTCACCGGTCATTTTTAACGTTGGCTATTTAGTGGTTGGATGTTGAACGCGTGACGTTATACGCTGTTTTTGCATTAGTGTTACTAATGACTTGAAAACACGACTTATATAGATAATGTCTCCACGTCTTTAAAGCAAAGACTACAACAACAAACTCCATATCATGTGTCAGATAATTATTCTCATGTACCTTCAACTGACGAGATGCATACGCCACAAGTTTCCTTTCTTGCATTAGTACACATCCTAATACTTGATACGAAGCATCATAATACACCTCAAAAACTTTCTCGGTGTTTGGAATTACCAACACTAGAGCAAATGTCAACATCTTTTTCATCTCCTCAAAAATTGTCTCATATTTGTCTGTCCAAACAAATAGTTGATCCTTACGAGTCAATTGCGTCAACGACCCCACTTTCTTGGAAAACCCTTCCACAAACCTCTAATAATAACCTGCCAACCCCACAAATTTTTCCTCTTATCTCCTAGAAAACGTCTTTTCTGTCCCCGATCTCTCTCTATTTCGTTTTTTAGGATTAGGGTAACAATATGTAGACCATTTTTACTCTTCTTTTTATCTTCTTCTATTCTATCTCTATCTTTTTTATTAAAATAAAATCGCTCACTTAATCTATAAAACCATCAAAGTTTTCTCCGATATTTTATCTCAACTACTTTTTAAAATATATCAACAACTAACTCTTCCAAAAAGATTCATGTAATCTTTTAACTTTCAGATTTTAAGTTTATTCTTTTGTTTTCTACATCCCTTATATTAATTTCTACATCAATTAATATAGGTGAAAGATCCTTTTACCCTTGGACCAAAAATATATTTCAAATCTAAGTTTCTCTTAAACTTTTCTCCCTAAGAATTGAACTCACACTTATTCATTCCTAAACAATACTCATACCAACAAATAAACACATCATATTGATACTATTACACACACAATCACCAAAATAACAACATACAAATCATGTGTGCTACGTAATCAACAATAATATTAAATAATAACATAACAATTATAATCACAAAAAAGAAACACCTAAGCATTACACACCAATCATCAAACAATAATACTCAAATCTCATAACCACCATTTTTTTCGGGTCTTATATCTAACCACCACTCATGTCCTTAAGTCTTCTAACTTACATAGTTTGTCAGAGGAGTTCCAATATGTGTTTCAAGATCCTCCAAAAGGTTTATTGTAAGACCTGTATAAAATAAAAATAATTTTTATTTTATTATTAGAATTTGTGAGATTAAATAATAAATTATGGTATGTAATTGTGTGAAGAAAATACACAATTTTTTTATTACATAAATTATTTTAACCTAATAATATACATTTACCAAAATTAATTTTATAAAAAACAACTATAATTATACGATAATTTTTCTATTGTCATAATTATAATATATTTAAATTATCTTATTTATTATAATCACTCTTCAAAATTTTTATTCTTAATTAATTTATAAATATTAAATTAAATTTATTTTTTAAGTTTATATTTACATGAGTTTATAAAAAATTATAAAATTTTAATAAATTAATTTATTATAAATAAATATACAAAACTATAAAATTAGAAAAAAAAAATATTGCTAGGAATTCGTTCCTAAGAAACAAAATTTCAGCCCCAAATAACCTATGAAATTAGAAAAAGCAGGATGAGAATTTAGCCTTTAGCAAAATGAAATTGTCCTAGTTTGAAAAAATTTCCTGATGATACTCACGTCAATAAAATTCAAAAATGGTTTATAACTAAAAAAAATCGAGAAAAGGATGTTAATTTCAAAAAATAGGGACATGCACCATTTCGTCTTTGAAGTAAGTTTATTCTTGTTTTTATGTTGAATTTTTTTAAGAAAATTTGTGGTTGTGACTTCTTCTAGTCTAGCATTGTGGAGTGGGAGTACTCACTAAATGGCAATATGTGTACATTTTTATTAATGTTAAATATTCAAACAATGAACGAAAATGTGGGTGAATTAACTTTGTGCGTTATTATACTTTTTATTAGGAAGAGTTACAAGACTGGTTTTTAGTGGTAAATCTGGGAGAGATGGTGAGATATGTTATGGATTCAACTTCCTTCATTAATATTTGTAAGTTATAATGTTTGTTTGATAGATTTGGAAAAGGTGATGGAAGAGGAGGAAGTTGGAGGAAGAAAAAAATAATAGGGGAATTTTAAGTTGGAAGATTATCTAAATTTTAATATATGATACTTCTAAATCATATCATTATCTATCAATTTAATAAAAGGAATATTAACTCTGTTTAAAAAATATTAAAATCCAATTAATTAAAAAATTATACAAATCAAAATAAATCATAAATCTAAATATAAAACTAAATTAATAATTAAGTTAATAATATAATATTTAAATTACGATAATGATTGCAAATGTCATAAGAGAATGAAAATAATAAAGTTTCAATGTGCTACTACTTACATTGAAATTGCTTTTCAATAAAAAGTTTACGATAATTTTAATTGACATTATTCACATATTTAAAACATCATTAAATGTGAGATGTTGTGACGATTCGATTAAATCTACCATATCATATTTTATAGTGACAAGATCTATGACAGTTTTTGAAACTATCACATGAATACATAATAATGTTTGTAAATGACAAAATATACAAAAGGGAAGAACAATATATTATAATTTGTATCAGTTTCAATACACTTCATATATTTAGTATATAAACAACATTCAACCTTGTGAAGAACTACACAACAGTTACAATTTACTTAGGTGTACAAAACGGAAACCTAAATAACTAAACTAACAATTAAAAACATCTCTTTGATGATTTCACTAGACAACATCTACAACTTCCTTCAGTACATCAAAATCACAAATATCACAGGATAAATTTGTTGGTTTTTGTTTGGTGCATACAAATTAAACTTTTGCCAGAAACAATGTGTTCAACAAATAGCTGAGAAGACTTAAAAGAAACTAGGACAAAGGGAGAACTATTCAACCAAAAACATAATTAAATAAACATGCATCTAACTCAAAAATTGCTTATTGGTGAAATCCAATAACAAATCTTTGAATACCAGCAAAATCAGCAAGTATTTCTAAATTGTAGAAGCTTCCACTTCTGCTTTTCATGTAATCAACAAGAGCCCGGCACTGCTTCTCGCCATTTGTCTATTAAGAAAAAATTAAGAAACATTTAGAAAAAAAAAAAATAAGAGATTGGCATAGCATAAAACAGGATCATCCACTTTTGGATTTGGATTCTATAAGTACTAGATTACAACTAACGTATCATGTGTCTACTAATGTAACCATCTCTAGATACTACAAGCATGGTAGTTGAATCACGAATAGTATCGCGTATTGTACGATTCATAAACATTATATAAACATTAAAAAATGTAACATATACTTAAATATATAAAATATATAAATATGCAAAGAAACAATTAATAACAAAACTATCTCAGTCAAATAGAGTGGTTGTATCTATGTGTATTTACCACACAATTTCACAATTTCAGCAATACAACCTTCAAAAAGCAATGTGGTTGATAGATTTCTTGGAACAAGAAATCCAGAACTCACACCAGAAAACACCAACACACTCAGGAACATTGAAAACAGTCTATATTATTATTCTTGATGACAAAGAATACAGCCCGAACACTTCCAAGGGAGACCTCTCCCTTCACATACAATGCAATGGTCCTGTCCCTAAGAAACAACAAAACAAAAACATGTCTGTCCCTAGACACCCCTTCCTCCTTATAAAGCTAACTCCTACCCCAACATATAACAGCTAACCTCCTAACAGTCCTAACTGTCCCCATAACCCCTCCTAACATCTTATGACTAATTTCTTTTAATTCCTTTTCCTCCTTTCATACACTCTCAAAGTCCTATCAGTGGTTGCTGCATAAGATTCCTTTAACTATGGCTATATGCTACTAAACAAATTCTGCATTATAGCCATCCAAAAAATAAGTGTGGTTGCTACTGCTATTTGCATAATTACTACATAAGATGTATACTAAACAGTGGTTTCCAGTTCCTTGATCTTCTTGAAAATCAAGGGTTGCAACACTTGGTAGAACTAAAAGGTGCCAACTTCTCGAATTTGGTTCGGGTCTTCTACTTCAACTTCAAGGTTACGGATGATGTTGCTTACACAAAAGTGAAGGGAGTCAATATTATCCTTGATAATGACATCTAGGAAAATGTGGCTCATCTTCCCATCTGTGAAGATGCAGTGAAAGTGCATATTGGGGTTGAGGGATTTAACCGCATTCTAGCCTACCGTTCATTTCTCAAGAACCCTCAACAGCACATTGAGCGCAAACAACTTTTGGTGGGTGGTCTCAAAATGGATGAACGTCTCATCCATTACCTTATTGTCATACCCAATGTTCTAAACAATGGGCTGCTAAATCATATCATTGTTGAAGGCTAAGAGGTATCTAGTCTACTACCTCCCCTATGCTTTGTTAATATCTAGAATTTGTGATTACAAAGGTGTTAACATTGAAGGAGAAAAGGTCTCCAACACTCTGCCCTTAAATGAGATTGGACAAGGGGCATTAAGGAAAATGGGATTTATTCCCCATGGTAACAACTTCANATCAACACAGAATTTTTATCCTGGTTCGAATCAAAAGATTCTACGTCCAGTCGTTAATCACTATAAATAGTGATTAACCTTTTTCACTAAAATATGGTTTGAAGATTACAATCAGATAATCAAAATAAGCAAAGAATAGAAAACACCTTCCTTCGACAAACGAACGGAAGAACCTGCTCAGCCAACTTGAAGAGAACCGCTCCGACCTTTGACACACAAAACGCGAGCTTCTCCTATTCACAAGACCAGGCAAGAGCACTCTATCACTTTGAGAACTTCCTCAGACAAACTGTATTCTCAAAATGGCATAGATCCTTTTCACTCACAGAGAGCTTCCCTTAGGCACAAAGCTCTAATACTCTCAATTGAAAAGTTATTTCTAAGAGCTGTGAAGACCTCTATTTATAAGCCTAGTTTCGTGCAAGGTCAAAAACTAAAAAAACATCTCCCAACTGCCACTGATAATCGATTATCATAAGTGATAATCGATTATTTGTGTCCGTTATGGGGTTTTCAAAATGGTGATAATTGATTATCCTGAGCAATAATCGATTATTCTAGAGACTTGGACAGAATTAAATGAAACAGTGATAATCGATTATTCTGTGTAATAATCGATTATTTGCGCAAGCAACTCTCTTCTAAACTGGCTCGTGATAATCGATTATTCCTCTTGATAATCGATTATTTGTGCAATGACTCACTAAATACGAAAACTTCTAAGAGTTTTTACATCATTACATTTTATCCTATACATTTGTTTCTACAAAATGCGTTTAACAAAGATGCATTTAGAGTCTTCAATTCTTCAGCTTTTATCATCATCAAAATTTCACAGTAGCTTCAAGATACCAATGCTCCTCATTGGTAACATAAATAACATGCATTTGTAACAAATGAAAGAAAAATTACATGTGATGGTCCTCAAACTTCGTTCCAGATTGAGCAGAGAAGAGGGTATCGCGCACTAAGATAAAGTGAATGAATTTTCAATCTCCCGCTCAAAGTTTTAATGAATTCACTAACCTTTTAACGTCTAACGCTCGGGCATTTGACATTTTATATCCTTTTGACGTCTAATTCTAGGGAATTCGACGTAATACGTAAATAGACTTTCACCTTCCCGCCAAGCATTTTCGCAAATTTACCCAATATAACAAATTGATGTCGAATTATAATTCTAAACGACGTCTAATGATTGCATTTATTTACAAAAAAGCCACCGATCATTTTTAACGTTTGTTATTCAATGGTTGGACGTTGAACGCGTGACGTTATACACTGTTTTTGCATTAGTGTTACTAATGACTTGAAAACACGACTTATATAGATAATGTCTCCACGTCTTTAAAGCAAAGACTACAACAACAAACTCCATATCATGTGTCAGATAATTATTCTCATGTACCTTCAGCTGACGAGATGCATACGCCACAAGTTTCCTTTCTTGCATTAGTACACATCCTAATACTTGATACGAAGCATCATAATACACCTCAAAAACTTTCTCGGTGTTTGGAATTACCAACACTAGAGCAAATGTCAACATCTTTTTCATCTCCTCAAAAATTGTCTCATATTTGTCTGTCCAAACAAATAGTTGATCCTTACGAGTCAATTGCGTCAACGACCCCACTATCTTGGAAAACCCTTCCATAAACCTTTAATAATAACTTGCCAACCCCACAAATATTTCCTCTTATCTCCTAGAAAACGTCTTTTCTCTCCCTGATCTCTCTCTATTTCGTTTTTTAGGATTAGGGTAACAATATGCAGACCCTTTTTACTCTTATTTTTATCTTCTTCTATTCTATCTCTATCTTTTTTATTAAAATAAAATCGCTCACTTAATCTATAAAACCACCAAGATTTTCTCCGATATTTTATCTCAACTACTTCTTAAAATATATCAACAAATAACTCTTTCAAAAAGATTCATGTAATCTTTTAACTCTCAGATTTTAAGTTTATTCTTTTGTTTTCTACATCCCTTATATTAATTTCTACATCAATTAATAAAGGTGAAAGACCCTTTTACCCTTGGACCAAAAATATATTTAAAATCTAAGTTTCTCTTAAACTTTTCTCCCTATGAACTCACACCTATTCCTTCCTAAACAATACTCATACCAACAAATAAACACATTATATTGATACTATCACACACACAATCACCAAAACAACAACATACAAATCATGTGTGCTACGTAATCAACAATAATATTAAATAATAACATAACAATTATAATCACAAAAAGAAACACTTAAGCATTACACACAATCATCAAACAATAATACTCAAACCTCATAACCATTTCATTTTCTTCGGGTCCTATATCTAACCACCACTTATGTCCTTAAGTCTTCTAACTTACATAGTTTGTTAGAGGAGTTCCAAGATGTGTTTCAAGATCCTCCAAAAGGTTTATTGTAAGACTCGAATAAAATAAAAATAATTTTTATTTTATTATTAGAATTTGCGAGATTAAATAATAAATTATGGTATGTAATTGTGTGAAGAAAATATTAAGAAAGTGAATAAAAATACACAAAAAAATTTTATTACATAAATTATTTTAACCTAATAATTACATTTACCAAAATCAATTTTATAAAAAACAACTATAACTATACGATAATTTTTCTATTGTCATAATTATAATATATTTAAATTATCTTATTTATTATAATCACTCTTCAAAATTTTTATTCTTAATTAATTTATAAATATTAAATTAAATTTATTTTTTATGTTTATATTTACATGAGTTTATAAAAAATTATAAAATTTTAATAAATTAATTTATTATAAATAAATATACAAAACTATAAAATTAGAAAAAAAATATTGCTAGGAATTCGTTCCTAGGAAACAAAATTTCAGCCCCAAATAACCTATGAAAGTAGAAAAAGCAGGATGAGAATTTAGCCTTTAGCAAAATGAAATTGTCCTAGTTTGAAAAAAATTTCTGATGATACTCACGTCAATAAAATTCAAAAATGGTTTATAACTAAAAAAATCGAGAAAAGGATGTTAATTTCAAAAAATAGGGACATGCACCATTTCGTCTTTGAAGTAAGTTTATTCTTGTTTTTATGTTGAATTTTTTTAAGAAAATTTGTGGTTGTGACTTCTTCTAGTCTAGCATTGTGGAGTGGGAGTACTCACTAAATGGCAATATGTGTACATTTTTATTAATGTTAAATATTCAAACAATGAACGAAAATGTGGGTGAATTAACTTTGTGCGGTATTATACTTTTTATTAGGAAGAGTTACAAGACTGGTTTTTAGTGGTAAATCTGGGAGAGATGGTGAGATATGTTATGGATTCAACTTCCTTCATTAATATTTGTAAGTTATAATGTTTGTTTGATAGATTTGGAAAAGGTGATGGAAGAGGAGGAAGTTGGAGGAAGAAAAAAATAATAGGGGAATTTTAAGTTGGAAGATTATCTAAATTTTAATATATGATACTTCTAAATCATATCATTATCTATCAATTTAATAAAGGAATATTAACTCTGTTTAAAAAATATTAAAATCCAATTAATTAAAAAATATATACAAATCAAAATAAATCATAAATCTAAATATAAAACTAAATTAATAATTAAGTTAATAATATAATATTTAAATTACGATAATGATTGCAAATGTCATAAGAGAATGAAAATAATAACGTTTCAATGTGCTACTACTTACATTGAAATTGCTTTTCAATAAAAAGTTTACGATAATTTTAATTGACATTATTCACATATTTAAAACATCATTAAATGTGAGATGTTGTGACGATTCGATTAAATCTACCATATCATATTTTATAGTGACAAGATCTATGACAGTTTTTGAAACTATCACATGAATACATAATAATGTTTGTAAATGACAAAATATACAAAAGGGAAGAACAATATATTATAATTTGTATCAGTTTCAATACACTTCATATATTTAGTATATAAACAACATTCAACCTTGTGAAGAACTACACAACAGTTACAATTTACTTAGGTGTACAAAACGGAAACCTAAATAACTAAACTAACAATTAAAAACATCTCTTTGATGATTTCACTATACAACATCTACAACTTCCTTCAGTACATCAAAATCACAAATATCACAGGATAAATTTGTTGGTTTTTGTTTGGTGCATACAAATTAAACTTTTGCCAGAAACAATGTGTTCAACAAATAGCTGAGAAGACTTAAAAGAAACTAGGACAAAGGGAGAACTATTCAACCAAAAACATAATTAAATAAACATGCATCTAACTCAAAAATTGCTTATTGGTGAAATCCAATAACAAATCTTTGAATACCAGCAAAATCAGCAAGTATTTCTAAATTGTAGAAGCTTCCACTTCTGCTTTTCATGTAATCAACAAGAGCCCGGCACTGCTTCTCGCCATTTGTCTATTAAGAAAAAATTAAGAAACATTTAGAAAAAAAAAAAATAAGAGATTGGCATAGCATAAAACAGGATCATCCACTTTTGGATTTGGATTCTATAAGTACTAGATTACAACTAACGTATCATGTGTCTACTAATGTAACCATCTCTAGATACTACAAGCATGGTAGTTGAATCACGAATAGTATCGCGTATTGTACGATTCATAAACATTATATAAACATTAAAAAATGTAACATATACTTAAATATATAAAATATATAAATATGCAAAGAAACAATTAATAACAAAACTATCTCAGTCAAATAGAGTGGTTGTATCTATGTGTATTTACCACACAATTTCACAATTTCAGCAATACAACCTTCAAAAAGCAATGTGGTTGATAGATTTCTTGGAACAAGAAATCCAGAACTCACACCAGAAAACACCAACACACTCAGGAACATTGAAAACAGTCTATATTATTATTCTTGATGACAAAGAATACAGCCCGAACACTTCCAAGGGAGACCTCTCCCTTCACATATAATGCAATGGTCCTGTCCCTAAGAAACAACAAAACAAAAACATGTCTGTCCCTAGACACCCCTTCCTCCTTATAAAGCTAACTCCTACCCCAACATATAACAGCTAACCTCCTAACAGTCCTAACTGTCCCCATAACCCCTCCTAACATCTTATGACTAATTTCTTTTAATTCCTTTTCCTCCTTTCATACACTCTCAAAGTCCTATCAGTGGTTGCTGCATAAGATTCCTTTAACTATGGCTATATGCTACTAAACAAATTCTGCATTATAGCCATCCAAAAAATAAGTGTGGTTGCTACTGCTATTTGCATAATTACTACATAAGATGTATACTAAACAGTGGTTTCCAGTTCCTTGATCTTCTTGAAAATCAAGGGTTGCAACACTTGGTAGAACTAAAAGGTGCCAACTTCTCGAATTTGGTTCGGGTCTTCTACTTCAACTTCAAGGTTACGGATGATGTTGCTTACACAAAAGTGAAGGGAGTCAATATTATCCTTGATAATGACATCTAGGAAAATGTGGCTCATCTTCCCATCTGTGAAGATGCAGTGAAAGTGCATATTGGGGTTGAGGGATTTAACCGCATTCTAGCCTACCGTTCATTTCTCAAGAACCCTCAACAGCACATTGAGCGCAAACAACTTTTGGTGGGTGGTCTCAAAATGGATGAACGTCTCATCCATTACCTTATTGTCATACCCAATGTTCTAAACAATGGGCTGCTAAATCATATCATTGTTGAAGGCTAAGAGGTATCTAGTCTACTACCTCCCCTATGCTTTGTTAATATCTAGAATTTGTGATTACAAAGGTGTTAACATTGAAGGAGAAAAGGTCTCCAACACTCTGCCCTTAAATGAGATTGGACAAGGGGCATTAAGGAAAATGGGATTTATTCCCCATGGTAACAACTTCATCCACAAAGGGGATGTCCCTGTTGAAGAAGGGGAGGAAGATGGTCCTATGCTTGATGCTACAGATGTTGTTGGACCATCAAGAGCTCATGAAGGCTCATCCTCATCTATGGAGGAAAATATTGCAACTCTCACTAGGAGGATGGAGGTAATGTACAACCTCCAAGCCACAACGCATCAAGAATTGCTCTCACTTCATGTTGCTCAACATGAACAAATGTGTGGCCTCATTAGTGACATAAATAATAGGCCTACCAATATTGAGCTTCATTTAGAAGAAGAGTATGAGGATGGGTCTAGTGAGGAATTTTAAAATTGTACTTCTATTAAGTATTAATGAAACTTTGCTTCTTATTCATTACTGAGTTACTACTTGTTACTTTTACTATCATATTGAGGGAGAGCTCCATGATGATTGGATTGATAAATTGAGGGGGAGCTTCTACTTACTTGTATGCATTTGTTTAGGGGGAGTTATTCTATTTTTTATTCTGATCAAAAAGGGGGTGAAGAAAGGTTAAGTATTAAAGCATTATAATATTCAAAATGTACTTGGGTTTGGGTTTATCTTATGAAAGATCACTCTTAATTGTTACCCATCTTTAAATCCTTTTGAATGAAATCAAGAATCAATTTGGTAAAGTTATAAAATCTTAAGAAGTGATAATGCCAAAGATTATTTCTCATCCACCTTTTCTGCAATCTCGAGTTCCCATGGTCTATTACATCAGTCCACTTGTCCTCACACACCGCAGCAAAATAGTATAGTAGAAAGGAAAAATAAACACTTGGTTGAAACTGCTCGTACACTTTTGCTTAGTGCCCATATTCATGTCCATCATTGGGGGATGTCATCTTAACTGCATGTTATCTTATTAATAGGATGCCCTCCTCTTTCTCTATCATAAAGTCCCTTTCTCCATTCTATTTCCCAATGATCCTCTCTTTCACATATCTTCCCAAGTTTTTTATTGTGTATGTTTCATTCATGACATGTCTCCAGGACTAGACAAACTCTCTGCTCCTGCTATTCTCAACTCCAAAAAGGATATCGGTGTTATTCTCTTGAAACCAAGAAGTATTACATCTCTGCCAATGTCACATTCTTTGAACAAACTCCTTACTTCTTTCCATCTATTCACGGTGTTCATATCCTCCAACAGGTCCTTCCAATTCCAGTGGTTGAGTCCAATATTTCCAATGTCTCTGTCAATCCAAGTCTTGATCAAAGTCCTCTTGCACCCTTCTCTCCACATACTGATATCATTCCACGCAGGACCACGATGGATAGGCCACCTCTCTGAGAAAATGGTGAATCCCCTACTTCAGATTCTTCTCCCTTATCACTTCATACCACGCCTCCAGGTGAAGCTGATTCAAGTTGGCCCATTGCTCTCAGAAAAGGTACTCGTTCCATTCGAAACCCACATCCCATTTGTAATTTTCTTAGCTATCACATATTGTCGCCTTCCTATTATTCTATATTATCCTCGTTATCCTTTGTGGTTATACCTAAAAATGTGAATGAAGTGCTTGCTTACCCTGGATGGCGACAAGTCATGGTTGCAGAAATGCAAGCTCTTGACCACAGTAATACTTGGGAGCTCGTGCCCCTTCCGCCAAGCAAAAAGGTTGTTGGTTGCTGATGGGTATATGCAATTAAAGTTGACCCTGATGGTGAAATTGATCGGCTCAAAGCCAGTTAGTTGCAAAAGGGTACACTCAGGTTTATGGTCTTGATTATCGTGACACTTTCTCTCATGTAGCCAAGATGACTATTATTCGCCTCTTTTCCATGACAGCAATTCGTCACTGGCCACTTCATCGATTGGATATCAAGAATGCGTTCCTCCATGGTGATCTTGAGGAAGAAGTTTATATGAAGCAACCTCCTGGGTTTGGTGCTCAGGAGAAGTCTGGTATGGTATGCAAATTGCATCAATCTCTATATGGCCTCAAGTAATCACCACATGCTTGGTTTGGAAAGTTTAGCTCCATTGTTAAAAACTTTGGGCTAAAACGCGATGAAGCAGACCATTCAATTTTTTATTAGTCATACATCTCTTGGAAAATGTGTTTACTTAATAGTATAAGTTGATGATATAGTCATTACAAGAAATAATGCCATTGGAATATCTCAACTGAAGGAGTACTTGTGTAGACATTTTCAAACCAAGGACCTTGGAAGTCTCAAATACTTCCTGCATTTAAGTAGCTCAATCAAAAGATGGAGTTGTAATCTCCCAAAGAAAGTATGCTCTTGGTATATTACAAGAAACAGGCATGATTCATTACAGTAGATAGTCCTATGGATCCAAATAAGAAATTAAGGATAGAAGAAGGTGAATTATTCTCCGATCCTGAGAGATATAAAAGGTTGGTTGAAAAACTGATTTATCTCACTATTACAAGGCCAGATCTATCTTTTGCAGTTGGAGTGGTTAGTCAGTTCATGCAGGTTCCATGTGTTAACTATTGGAATGCTATCATTCACATTCTAAGGTATTTCAAAAAGGCTCCTGGGCAAGGGTTGTTATATGAGGATAAAGGAAGCATTTAGCTCTCTGGGTACTGTGATGCAGATTGGGCGGGTGCATTAGTAATTTTAGGAGTTACCATTTACTAATTGCACTTTAAATATTTCAAAATTAAATGAGTAAATATTTTAGGTTAAAAATAGGCCCAATTCTAACTGTTAAGGGTTGGAAGGTATATGAGAGAAAAAGGTATAGGAGAGAAGAAGAAGGTTGAATGGGTGAAGATGGAAGACCAAGCCAAACGGTGGAAAGGGGGGAGAGGCCAGACCGAACGGTGGAAGGCGGGGAGAGGTCAGGCCAAACGATGGAAGACGGTGAGGAGTCGAGTCGAACGGCCGAAGGCGATGAGAGCTCGAGCGAAGCGATGGGAAGCAGCGAAGACCTTGAGCCTATCGGCTGAAGAGTGACTATCCTAACTGGGACAACAATTAGGATAGGCGGGAAATATTTAGTAATAATTATAGTAAATAGAGTTATATCCCACGGAAATATTCAGTACAAGTTAATTACAGTAATTAGGGCTGTATCCTACAGAAATATTCAGTACAAGCTAATTACAGTAATTAGAGCTAAATCCTAGGGAAATATTCAGTATAAGTTAATTATAGTAAATAGAACTATATTCTAGGNACCACGCAGGACCACGATGGATAGGCCACCTCTCTGAGAAAATGGTGAATCCCCTACTTCAGATTCTTCTCCCTTATCACTTCATACCACGCCTCCAGGTGAAGCTGATTCAAGTTGGCCCATTGCTCTCAGAAAAGGTACTCGTTCCATTCGAAACCCACATCCCATTTGTAATTTTCTTAGCTATCACATATTGTCGCCTTCCTATTATTCTATATTATCCTCGTTATCCTTTGTGGTTATACCTAAAAATGTGAATGAAGTGCTTGCTTACCCTGGATGGCGACAAGTCATGGTTGCAGAAATGCAAGCTCTTGACCACAGTAATACTTGGGAGCTCGTGCCCCTTCCGCCAAGCAAAAAGGTTGTTGGTTGCTGATGGGTATATGCAATTAAAGTTGACCCTGATGGTGAAATTGATCGGCTCAAAGCCAGTTAGTTGCAAAAGGGTACACTCAGGTTTATGGTCTTGATTATCGTGACACTTTCTCTCATGTAGCCAAGATGACTATTATTCGCCTCTTTTCCATGACAGCAATTCGTCACTGGCCACTTCATCGATTGGATATCAAGAATGCGTTCCTCCATGGTGATCTTGAGGAAGAAGTTTATATGAAGCAACCTCCTGGGTTTGGTGCTCAGGAGAAGTCTGGTATGGTATGCAAATTGCATCAATCTCTATATGGCCTCAAGTAATCACCACATGCTTGGTTTGGAAAGTTTAGCTCCATTGTTAAAAACTTTGGGCTAAAACGCGATGAAGCAGACCATTCAATTTTTTATTAGTCATACATCTCTTGGAAAATGTGTTTACTTAATAGTATAAGTTGATGATATAGTCATTACAAGAAATAATGCCATTGGAATATCTCAACTGAAGGAGTACTTGTGTAGACATTTTCAAACCAAGGACCTTGGAAGTCTCAAATACTTCCTGCATTTAAGTAGCTCAATCAAAAGATGGAGTTGTAATCTCCCAAAGAAAGTATGCTCTTGGTATATTACAAGAAACAGGCATGATTCATTACAGTAGATAGTCCTATGGATCCAAATAAGAAATTAAGGATAGAAGAAGGTGAATTATTCTCCGATCCTGAGAGATATAAAAGGTTGGTTGAAAAACTGATTTATCTCACTATTACAAGGCCAGATCTATCTTTTGCAGTTGGAGTGGTTAGTCAGTTCATGCAGGTTCCATGTGTTAACTATTGGAATGCTATCATTCACATTCTAAGGTATTTCAAAAAGGCTCCTGGGCAAGGGTTGTTATATGAGGATAAAGGAAGCATTTAGCTCTCTGGGTACTGTGATGCAGATTGGGCGGGTGCATTAGTAATTTTAGGAGTTACCATTTACTAATTGCACTTTAAATATTTCAAAATTAAATGAGTAAATATTTTAGGTTAAAAATAGGCCCAATTCTAACTGTTAAGGGTTGGAAGGTATATGAGAGAAAAAGGTATAGGAGAGAAGAAGAAGGTTGAATGGGTGAAGATGGAAGACCAAGCCAAACGGTGGAAAGGGGGGAGAGGCCAGACCGAACGGTGGAAGGCGGGGAGAGGTCAGGCCAAACGATGGAAGACGGTGAGGAGTCGAGTCGAACGGCCGAAGGCGATGAGAGCTCGAGCGAAGCGATGGGAAGCAGCGAAGACCTTGAGCCTATCGGCTGAAGAGTGACTATCCTAACTGGGACAACAATTAGGATAGGCGGGAAATATTTAGTAATAATTATAGTAAATAGAGTTATATCCCACGGAAATATTCAGTACAAGTTAATTACAGTAATTAGGGCTGTATCCTACAGAAATATTCAGTACAAGCTAATTACAGTAATTAGAGCTAAATCCTAGGGAAATATTCAGTATAAGTTAATTATAGTAAATAGAACTATATTCTAGGGAAATATTTAATTTAAATAAAGCTTAGACACTAGGGTTGAAGGCATGTTTTTTATTATTGAGTTTTGTTGACAGGCAACTAGAGCCCTGTGAGGGAGGTTATGCTCTCAGTTATCCTTGTTTACTTTTGTTTATTCAGATATTACCATTAATAAAAGAGATTCATTCATCCATTATCATTTGTTCTACCTATTGTGGTCGTGTTTAATTACGTCTCCTACTCGGATACGTAACACTAACCCACTAAAAACATCCTAGGATTGTTTGTTCACTCATGAAAGCACAAAAGGCCAAGTGGTGCCATAGTCGCCACATTGACCCTAAAATCATAAACACTTTCCCACCATAAAACAAAAAGAAACCTCCAAGACCAGAACAGAGGAACACAACACTGTCATGCGGCCACCATGCGACCATCGCACTACAAATGCAAGTTGCGCAAACCCACTGAACAGACAAGAGGTGCACACGAGACTACAATTGGGGAAAAATTAGGGTTTCATATTGAGGGTAGATCTGTATCGTGAATTGAATCACGATTCGTGCGATTCACACTTGTATTGTACGATTCGAGTACGATTCCGGAGTAAAAGCGATACATCTCACAATTTGTATTACACAGGAGTTGAATTGTATCGTACAATTCGTATCATGAATTGTACGATACATACTACACTACTTCTTACATCCTGTCTAAGCTTCAATTAGCATGTTTGTTTCCTGTAGGTCTTCTCACTAACGATTTCATGATCTCACATGTAGGCTAGGAATGATAGATGTCCATTCAATAGCTTGAGGGGGAGTGTTGTTAGTAGGATATTAAATGTATTACTAGAAGTTGTTAGAAGATTCTAGAGATGTCTATGTAACTATTACTATAAGATTAGAGCTCTCCATATATAGAGGCTAACCTATGGTTAGTAGGATATTAAATATATTACAAAAGTTGTTACAATTCTAAGAAGTTGTTAGAAGATATTAGAAGATTCTAGAGATATCTTTGTAATTATTACTATAGGATTAGAGTTCTCTACATATAAAGGCTAATGTTCAAAATTAATCAAATTGAATAAAAATCCTTTTTCTTTCATATTAATTTTTTGAAGTCTTCCAATGTATGTTCGATCCTTGTCTCCAATAGAATCTCAAAGGTTGGTAAGATAAGCATCATAATAAGCATATTAAAGATGAATAAGAATACACATAACAATTTAACAAAAAATAACAAAAGAAAGGACAGTCGATTGGCATCTTTGAGAAAATTACTTGAATTCTATCAAAGTGACAAAAAATAATTTAATAAAAAATGACTTCTTATTTTCTAGAATTACGAATATAACTATAATATAACCTTTCTACAAAGGGGATTGCTTATAACGATTATTTCCAAAGTTTCCAACTTTGAATAGATGTGCCAAACGGACAACTTATTCTGAATCAAAATGTCCCCTCCTCAAGGGGATTACAGGTCACTCAATTGCAATCCAATTAAGCTAGGTGGTAATGATTATATTATTTATATGAGTATCTTAGAAAACAGACACACAATAAGAAAGAAACATTTGGTACAAATTTGTAGAAAGCAGAAGATCCATACCTCAAAAGCAAAAAATCCACCAGGTTTCAACATTAAAGCAGCCCCATCACAAAGATGCAGAAGTGCATTCATTCCTTCAATACCTCCATCTAACGCTAATCTCGGTTCATGTCTACCAACTTCAGCTTGTAGACCAGATATGTCTTCACTTGGTATATAAGGTGGGTTACTCACTAGACCAGCTAGCTTTCCTTCCATATCTTTCAATGGTTCAAACCAGGATCCTTCCCTTAAGTCAATTTTGTCCTGCAAAGGACAACAAAGTAGTTCAAATGTGAATCATAATAATCATAACTGGAAGTGATAAGATGTATAAAGAAAATATACTTTAAAGGGACAACGTGATAAACAACAAAAGACGTATCGATAAAAGTCAACAATTTTAAATTCCTCTACTTTATTTTAGTTTGTCAATATACTTCTCCTGGTATCTATTTAAACAAAAGGCTGGGTTTTCATCCCCAGCAACATTTGATGTGTCTTAACCCAAAACGAGTTTTGTTGCGGTTTATACACATTCTGATGAACAAGGCTAAGCTCATTGACTTGAATGGACATATGGAGCTTCTAAACATGAAATCAAGTCTCTGCTTTGACTTGAAAACAAAACACACACACATAGACCATCATAGACCATCATGCAAGATACATGGAATGAAAGGAAATTGAAAAATCAACAAAAACATATTGGCAAAAACTCACATGGAAGGTGGAAATATGTCCTCCAACTTTTCAGCAATTTCATATAAAACCAACAGGGGCTGTTAAAACCATGGTTGAAAAAAGCCAAGAGGAATTGAAAGCATGGAGATTGAAAAGTTAGAATCGCTAACCTGTAAGCAATACCTCTGCACATTATAAGTTGCAACGGCAACAGCCACAGGGCTTAAATCTGTGGCAATAACTCTCCCTCCTTCATTCCCCAAAACCCGACCAATACTAATAGCAAGGGCACCACTTCCAGTGCCCAAATCAGCCCAAACCCCACTCCTCAAATCCTCATTCTCTGACACCACATCTGACACAATATCAACAACAAGTTGTGTCTCAGGTCTTGGAATCAACACTCCTTCTTGGACACTCAATATCAAGTCCCTCCAATGCTCACACCCAACCACATACTGAAAGGGTCTCCTCTCTTGGACCCTTTGCTTCCACAAACTGTAAAGCTCCTCTATATCAACCCTCATTGTCACCTCTTCATCATCCTCCGTAGCTAGTGAGCGGTCTTCAACAGCATCCTCCATGAACCACTTGAGCTCCCTGCAGAGCATGCTTGAGTCTGGTCCATTATCTGACTGCACAAAAGTCGACCCAATTGAAAAGGAAAGACCTTTGGCCCAATCGTGCCATTTCTTGAGGTCACACAACTTGGTTGAGTAAATGGGTGGTCTCAAATAGAGGGGAATTTGAGGTTTCACACAAGTCGGGGAAGATGACGGTGCTGAAGAGCAAAAGGGTCTACCCAGAGAGCCAAAAGAAAAACAATTGAGGAGTTTGGGGAAGCTATGAGGACAATATGCAATGCCTAATGTTAGCTTCATTTCAAGAGAACGAAAATGAAGAAACTTTTTTGTTACTATATGGCATCATCGGTCATCAACTTCAGCATTTGCATAACCTAACAAAGGTAAAAATTGAGTAAGGGTTAACGAAAAATCCAAGATATTTTTCAAGACGAAGAAACGGTTTAGCTCACTTACTGAAAGACGAAGAAAATACTCTGAACTGAGGCATGTAACAGGTAAATAGCGACCCGGAAAGAGATATGGCACCTGAGCAGGGATACTCTAAGTTTTCTTATTGTATTTGACATACTTTTTAATTTAAATAAAATTTAAAAATGTTTGAAATTATAAAATAAATATGTAAAATATTAAAAAAAACATAAATAACTGAGTTATAGGAAAACAATAATCTTTAAAGTAAAACATGTGAATTTAAAATACATCAATGAGAGTCCAAGTAACCTAGTCCAAGAAAGGACATCTTAATATAAAATTTTCTTATAAAAATATTTGATGATTTTAAATATGAGATAAAAAAATATAATATAAAGTTATTTAATTATTTTATATTCTCATTTTTGGGTCTTAATTCCTACAAAAACTTAAACTAAAGTATAAAAATGAATTAACGTAATTATCGTTATCATAAAATATTAATGATTTGTTGATGTGATGATTATATTATCACGTGAATTGATCGTGTGTATAGATGTTAGTATATAATAAATAATATGCATAGTAACACCATTATATCAGCCATAGATGTGTTAATGTGTTCATATGACGAAATACAATTTTATATTAAAGTAAAAGATTAAAAACATATTTGAAGTTTAATAGATGTGTTAATGTGGATACACATCTGATAACGGGTGTTTGCCATATCAGCAAATATTAATGTCGTTTAATGACGAGGATTATGCATTCATTTTTTAAGTTTGTACACCAATCACTGTGAAAGTTTTTGAGAGAAACGAAATCTAATTTTGCGTCATATTTTAGGAACTAGAAACACATTTAATATTTATTTTAATGACTAAACACAATTTTTCATAATAGTTTGAGAATAAAAAACACATTTAAGTTTCTTTTTTTTATCAAGTGATATTTTTTTTTGTCATTATATACTTTCTTATCGACCACACAATAGGGTAGGATTTAGAAAATTATAAAATTTAGCTCATATTATTTTCTTAATTAGAATTAAAATGTTACATTAATAGTTTATATAATAAATATTTGCTTCAACAAATTAGAAAATTAGTAACTAAAATCAGCACAATCAATACTTAAATAGAATAGAAAATCATGTGTTAAATACTTTTAATCTTGAACACTTATGTAGATAGATCAATCCTTAAGCAATCCAACAATTAAGTTTTTTCTCTAATATAGTCTTTAGTTGATTTGAATCTTTCTATTATAGTAGCACGATAATTATTACCCAAGAGGAATAAAGTACGCATTGAAAGAAATAATAAGAAAATAAAGTTGATATATATAAGATCTAGTTCGGTCTTACTAAGTGTTTTGGGTGTAGAGATGAACGTCCATTTAGAACAATTTCCTAATTGTACATTTCAATGTTGTCTTCTTGGTGCTAAGGTAAGTTGTTCGCTAATTGATCAAGAGATACCTACTAAAGGTGCTCCAATACTAAAGTCAGCTTAGGGTTGACAATTAAAGTAGTTAAGACTACAATAAATGCATAACAAAAGTTCCAACAACCATGTTTTAACCTATATTTATAGTTTTCTCCATGGGCTTTATATTAATTATTGTCGAAAGTAAAACATACTAAAAAACAAGTTACAAGACTCTTAATGATTTACAAGTGTAGTAAAAGTCTACAACAAATGGTTTCTAAAAAAGTGTTTTAACAATGTATGTAAATATTTCTTCAAGTGCATTATCAAAAACATCTTCTCAAAGCATCAATGCTTCTCATTGGTAACATTCTACACCTAAACCAAACCCTAGCCAACTACAATCCAAACACAAAAGGATGCTACTACTTTGTCTCATCTTCGGGATTCTTTCTCACGTGAGAATCCTAAACCACATCTCTGACCCATCCTTTCAGAGCCCAAATCTGGAAATCATTCTCTCAAGTAGAGCCGCAAGAGGAGAAAGACTTTTACTTGTTGCACCAAAAGAGAATCCTAGGAAACTCCCACTGACACTAGGAGAATCTTCTATTGAAAGGATGAAACCCAAGAGCAATCAAGTTGAAAGTCCTACTAAGACAAGTTCCTCAAAAGAATCTTCCAACAGTAATGGAGAGACTGTCAATAAGTTTAGGAAATTGATCGTGAAGCAAAATGAGTGTCAAACTCAAAGTGTTGAAAGGCTACTAGGGGAGCATAGAAGGGCTTTAAAAGATCATCTTACTAATCTTCCGAAGTCTGTGCAGAACTCTCCAAAAGCTTTGGACTTTTTTTTTTATCGTCTTGTTAATTTCTCTTTTCCTTATATTAGATCTTTTGGTTATGTTGTTTTCTTACTGGTGAATCTTACTCGAATGATATGCGTAAAATTAATATTGGAAACCCCCTTAACAAATTAAAAATAAATAAATAAAAAGAGATAAGAAAACTGAAAACTTAAAAATCACAACTAAAAGAGAAAACAAAAGATGCAACAAAACAGCAGAGCTAACTAATTTTCTAAACCTTTTTAATATTTTACAAATAAAGGGGAAAGAATTACATACTCCAATGAGACTCTTCCTAGTAAGAACAATATGTTATTCTAGTAAGACTCTTCTTCTAGCATGTGTATTTGTTAAACATAAAAAAGGGAAAGATTCTCAAGGTATGCCAAGCTCATCCAGTAGAAAACCAGGGAGAATTGTTAAGGTATTACAAGACAAGCTCGTCTAGTAGAAACATTGGTCTTGGTTTTGAAGTTTAACTAAATAACATAAACGAAGAAGTCTTTGTGTATGGAAAACTAACTCTAATTAGAAAAACACTTAAATCAACCTTAGGACATGAAACCAATCTTTAGTACACTCTAATGGGAAACCATAAAACCAACCTTAGGCTAGAAAACTCCAATTTAAGATAGGAAACCAATCTTAGCTCAACACCAAGATGGAACAGCTCAACACCAACATGGAACAGCTAGAAACACATAAGAAACCCTAAGCAAGTCAAACGCTATCTATCTAAAAAGAGATAAAAGCCGAAAAAGTGTTTACTTAATCATACGATACCATGAGCTAAACAAGTACCTCATCTTTCAATGAAAGTACTCATAAATGCTTGATATCTTCAAATTAAAGAACTTAATTGTGAAATGCTACTTAATAGTAGGAAATTAAAAAACATTTTGTTGTTCTGAGAAAGCATTGAATGATATTAAATGTTCAATGTTCAAAAACAACAAAAGTGATATTTAGTAAACTAATTGCACGACAAGTCCAATCAGAAGCAGGTAAAAGAAAAAACATTCATGGAATGTTTTCTCCAAGGAAATAAAAACTGTAAAATCATGTCTAAACAAAACACCAAAGTAATAAAACACTAAAATGTAGTCAAACAATAACAAGACACAAGAAAGCATAAAATTCTAAACAGAATCTTAAAAGCATGTATGGTAGTTTTCTTGTGTCTTGTTATTGTTTAAGCGTATTTTATGTTTTATTGTATCTTGTTATTGTTTGAGTGTATTTTAGTGTTTTATTTCTTTGGTGTTTTGTTTAGACGTGGTTTTACAATTTTTATTTCCTAAGAGAAAACATTTCATGAATGTCTTTCCTTTTACCTTCTTCAGATTGGACTTGTCGTTCAATTAATTGATTAGATATCACTTTTGTTGTTTTTAAACGTTGAGCATTTAATGTCATTTAATGCTTACTCAGAACAATAAAGTGCTTTTTGATTTCCTACTGTTAAGGTAGCATTTGACAATTAAGCTTTTCTTTTAAAGATACCAAGTGTTAGGTAAAACTTCATCGTTGAACGAAGTACTGTTTTAGCTCATGGTATTGTTAAGGCAAGTAAACACTTCTTTTGATTTTTGTCTCTTCTTTAGACAAATAATGTTTAACTTGTTTTCTTTTGTATTTTAGGCTTTTAATATTTTAGTGTGTTTTGTCAAAAACATCGTCTTGACATTAATTGTTTTCGAGAGCTAAACGGAATACCTTTGGGTGTGATAAGTTTTAAGCGTTTAACTTTAACTCTCTTAGATGCTTTAGGCATAACAACATTTAACACAGTGTCTAGATGTTTTTGACTAGATGTTTTTCATTTTCTAAGAACCTAAGTGTTTTCCTAAGGTTTTCTATGTTTGGGATTCAAGTTCTAAGTCTTGTGTAGATTTTCTATGTTGGGGATTCAAGTTCTAAGTCTTGTGTAGATTTTCTATGTTGGGGATTCATGTTCTAAGTCTTTGTGTTTTCATCATAAGTTGTTTTCAGATTATTATTCCATTTTAAATGTTATTTGGTTAAACTTCAAAATATGAGAGTGTTTAGGCGCATAGACAATTTTGTCTTAACATGTTATTCTTATTTCTTCTTCCTCCATATAATCATGATGAGTTGGGAAGGAGGATGAGTGTAGAGGTTGAACATTGGGCATGGCTCTTATGGGTAGGCGGTTTAGGGTTTAGCGAATGAAGTTAGGGTAATTTACTCTGGTGATGATTAGTGGTGAAAGAGCAACAATGGAGTTTGGTGGAAGGTTGAGATATGCTGGTGAGGGTTTGTGGTCATATGATGATTGGTAAGGAGGGATGTCATATAGTACTTGTTCGGTGTGTTTTTAAATGAGTTGAAAAATGGGTAGGTTTTGATGGTCATCTAGTGAGGGTTGAGGTTCATAGTCTTTATTTTGTGGGAGGTTGAGGAGAGTGTAGTAAAAGCATTGGTAAGGTTTGGGTTGATAGTTTGGTGGGTAGAAGGATGCAATGTTTAGGGTTGGTTTAGGTTTGGGACCATAAGGTATGAGGGATTCAGGTTCAAGTTGAGGTAAAGTTTGAGGGTCATTGGGTAAGGATGGTTAATCTTGTGTAGATTGGGTAGCTAGGGCGTCGTTGAGTGCGAGTAGTTGTTGTGGTGAGGTTGTTGGAGGATTCCATGGCTTCAGGGAGTGTTGAACAATGGTAGATGGTTCCTTATCTAGAATATCTTCCACCTCAAGAGATATATGTTGGATTTTGGGTTACCATTGTTGCTCTTGTGGAGCGTTGAATGGTAATAAACGATTCCTCATTTGGAACATCTTGAAATTCAGGGTGTGTCTATACAACACTCCTCACTATTCAATGTTAGGACAAGACA